GTGGTCTGATGAGTCAAGACTGACCCTGTTCCAGAGTGATGGGAGCATCAGGGTAAGAAGAGAGGGAGCTGAAGTGATGCACCCATCATGTTTAGTGCCTGCTGTATACTGTATATGGTGACAATGTTATGAACTGAGGTTGCTGCAGTTGGTTTGGTTCAGCAACGTTACGAGGTCAGCTGACTAACTGAATATACTGAATAACCATGTTATACAATCAATGCTTATTTTCTTCCCTGATGGCGCTGGCATATTCCAAAATSATACTGCCAGGATTCATCGGGCTCAAATTGAAAAAGAGTGGTTCAGGGAGCATGACCCCCAATTTACATTACATGCGTTACGGCTCCGCACCGCTGTGATGTGCAGGTCACAGCTGTGCATTTCAAGTCCAGTTTATACTACCTCCGCTTCGGTCCGACAGACGTGCTGGAAGGAGATAGCGCGATAAATTCAGTGATAAATGTGGAAGTCACAGCAAACAATAATTAATTCTGTGAAAGACGAACTCCAAACACAGCTGAAAACAACGATATAAAGGCTTTAGTTATCTGTGTTTAAACTGTCTCGCTGTCGTCTTTCTGAAACTTCTGATTTCAAAATAAAATCCACGTGTATCGTGTGTGTACACGTGCTTCATGCTACATGTTTCTATCTGCTTCTCAAACAGAGCAATACATTCTGACAGCATTTGKGTAGAAATATATCCATATATTTATTAACATAGCTGCAATTTCGACATTATTCTGACAATTGTCCAGCCTAAAAGTGTCTTATTTTGAAAATACGGATGTTGTGCTTGATTCTTTTCCTGTTGGTGCGACATAATCTTTAAAAATTGACTCCAGTGCAGCTCCGGAGTCCAGCAGAAATAGGATCTGTTCTAATTTTGACGGATTGCCATCTGCTCTCCGCCGCCCTGCACAGCCAGTGTAAACACTCTCATTGATTATAATGCAAGGGCGGAGTGGGTAATCGGGACAATCGGGACGAATCCCCGATGGGCGCAGTTAGTACGAGGATGATAGGACGAAAAAAATCTCCGATCAAAACTGATGATGAACTTCTGTTAGT